ACATGTTAACAATCTGTCACGAACCTTTTATAGCAAAAGTAGAGCTCGATTGACTCAAGCTAGGGTGCTCCATCATTTCAAACAAAGACATGGATGGATAGAGCACCACAATATTAACAAAACATCCTTACTGATCATCCTCAAAAGAGGCACGGATCACTAGGAAACAACATGAACATATGGCATAAAAACAATAGCAGAACAAGGACTTAGTGAAATTCTAAGTCCCTGAAATCAGCATCATCGAGTAAGCTACTTTTCATGCTTGTGCTAGTCACCACAAAGATCACAAAAATACATGGGATACACCCCTGTAAAGATAACAAGGATTCTACAAAACACATGTAGAGCTCAGGATCATAGCATGCACACATTAATCATGGCAAAAATGACAAAAGGCCATTTGCTGAAACAGATCTGACAAAATCATCACATAGCTCTCTTCCAACGACATTTCGGCCATCAAGATGAGCTCAAATGAAAATGATGCAATGAGATGAAATGATGTAATCGTCGGGACAAACATTTTGATATGCTACACGCACGAATCGGAGCTACGGATGCAGAGTTATGGCATGTCAAAGTATGCAAAAAGATTAGGGTTTCGGGAGGAAAAAGTCAACCGAGGGGATTTTGGATCCGAGATCCAGATCGCACGCGTCCCGAGGTCGCCGGAGCTGTTCACCAGAGAAGATGCCGAGGTCGCGGGAGGTGCTGCCGGGGTCGAGGGAGGCCGGAGATGGAGGCGGACGGTGGCGGGATCCGGGCGGCGCGGCGCTAGCTCGCCGGCGGCGAGGGCGAAGCAGGGCGGCGGAGGCGGCCGGCGACCGGCAATGGCGGGCGCGATGGTCCGGCGAGGTGCGGCGCTCGCCGGCGCCGAAGAGGATGGCGGCGCGCGGGTGGAGGAGATGGCGAGGAGGCGCGGTGGCGCAATGGGCTCTCGGGGGCCCGAATCAGGCTTCGGCGGGCCGGTGGCGCGGGGTGGCGGCGCCTGCCATGTGGCGGGCTGGGAGTGGCGGCGGCGGTCTGTCCGGCGGCCGGCGGACGTGTCCGGCCTCGCAGAGAAGAGCGGGGCTAGGGTTTCGTCCATGAATTGAAATGGGGGATTCTTTATATAGAGGTAGGAGGAGTTAGGAAGCTCCAAATGAGGTGCGGTTTGCGGCCACGCGATCGTGATCGAATGCTCTAGATGATGGAAGAGGTTTAGGTGGGTTTTGGGCCAGTTTGGAAGGGTGTTGGGCTGCAACACACACGAGGCCTTTTCGGTCCCTCGGTTAACCGTTGGAGTATCAAACGAAGTCCAAATGGCACGAAACTTGACACGCGGTCTACCGGTAGTAAACCAAGGCCGCTTTGCAAGTCTCGGTCCAATCCGAAAACGTTTAACCCCCACACACGAAAAGAGGTAGAAAGGACCACCGGAGGACATAGGAGCATCGGAATGCAAAATGGACAACAGGGAAAATGCTCGGATGCATGAGACGAACAAGTATGCAAATGCAATGCACATGATGACATGATATGAGATGCATGAAAAAGACAAAACACACGGAGACAAAAACCTGACAACGAGGAAATAAAATAACTTAGTGCCAGAAACGGCAAGAGTTGGAGTACAAATAAGGTAAATTACATTCGGGGTGTTACACTCAAGCACGAGTTCTAGCCAATGAGGTGCCTCTCCTAGCAACACCAGCCCTGGCCAATGATATGCCACCAATACCATTCGAACTAGGTCGCCTTCGTACCACACACCACCACCACTATAGTCTCCCCCTCCAGGTTACTACTATGGTAATTAATTATGGATTTGCCCGTGGATGCGGCCTCACAATGGTTCTCCTTATTCCCTTATCAATTGCAAAAGAGAGGAGTGAAGGCTTTTACTGCCACCTGAATGGCCTTCATTTCCTAACCTTTACCATGACAGTAATAGGATTTGTGGACTTACGACGTAAATGATGAGTGGGGTCCCTTCACAACATTCATGAATATTATTAGACTAAACATTCAACAAAGGGCATCATATCCTTATCAACGTTTTCAGCACCAAAACATACCAAGGTTCATCCATATCCCCAAGAACTAGGGGTTTTTTGAAAAACTCAGGTTTTATTCATTTGTGATAAGTAGTACATTTTTTGTGAGGATCATTACAATTTCATTTAAAGGCTCCTCAAACCAATCGGAATTCAAAGAAAATTTAGCTAGTCTAGCAAGCTCATGAGCTACTTTGTTTGCTTTCCTATTACAGTGCTCAAATCTAGCAGTAACGAAATCACAAGCATAATGATAACAATCATCAAAGCTTGCTGCCGCCGCGCCCACCGACTGCCCTCCATCATTCATAGTTTCAAGCACCTCCATATTATCCGAATTTATAAAAAATCGACTGCTTCCCGCCCTTTGCGCCAGTGTTAGACCGAATTTGAGAGCTGAAGTTTCTGCCATCAACACATCCGCACAAAAATCTATTTTCTGATTCCCTCCAGCAATAAACCTGCCTTTGTCGTCTCGAAGGACCGCTCCCATGGAACCCCTAAGAAGATCGTGATCAAAAGAAGCATCAACATTAAGTTTAACGAAACCTCTTGGAGGACAAGACCAGACCACCTTCTTCATCGACGCCTCGGGGGATGAAGCCGAGAACTAGGGTTTTACTCGTACATGGGAACGAAGAACATCAAGTGCATAGCAATGAAAAACACTAATGAATCAAATAAGTAATGCATGTAGCAATCCACAAACGGTTGAGTATTACAACGAGATAGAGATGATAGATGATAATGGCAAACGATGGAGATGGTTGATGTCATTGTCCTCTTGCACGTCATGATGAACATGGCAATCTCCTCATATCCTCCCTTCGGATGGCATTCGGGGGCTAGGTTCTCTCGTCTGGACGAGTTTCTGGTCTTCGTATGCATCTAATTCGCGATCTGATTCCACGGGGTGGAAGTAGTCGACGAGGAGGAAGCGATGGCAGCTGGTACGAGTGCCTACATTCGTACGACATGCCGTCTTGTGCTCTAGAGGCGTTGCACAACTTCTAGCTTTCTCCAAATTGCTTTAAATTTTATGCTAGTTGTTAATCACATTAATTGACATGATTGTACCATTGTTTCCTGAAGTTCTTTCGTTAGCGCTCTAATCACTTCCAAAAACACATCCCGAGGGAATTCGACAAAAAGACATGCGCGAACGCAGTAAAATTCCACAAAGCCAACCATATAGGCACAAAATAAAGATAAAAAAATCACAAAATTTGGACTCATCAACTCCCCTAAGGTTAAATTTTGCTCGTCCCCGAGCAAACACCGCAGCTTGTAAATAAGGTCGTCTTAATTTTTTGACACGAAGATATATATAAAGGCATGAGTCCGTCACAAGAGATATCGAAACTGAAAGAGACAAAAGAATGCAACAATCGATAGTGCATCTCCACTGCTAGGATGATCATGAAGCCTTTCACACCTTGTTACGCAATTCATTAATGAACGAGATACAACTTTATGTAGTAGGCCATCTTTTATTTCAACTGAGCAAATAGTAGGGAGTCTCTTTTATTGATTTTTTTTCATTACTTTCTTTTTCCCGAGCATGAAACATGTTTACGTGCCCATCTCACATTTTATTCTTATGTGACATGCAAGCTAAACATATTCCTTTAATAGGGATTAAAAACTTATATTATTTCAAGAAGAATTCTATCCCTTAGCTATTTGCTTCAACTTGTTTATTTGATCAGACATAAGTCCCAATCTTTTATGCTTATAAATTTTTTTAGGGGTTGCAAACTGATGGGCTAGCACATATAGTTATTTTCCTTCTCTAATCAATCAACAACTGGTTGTGGAAGACTTATGATCATCTCAGTAGTGAACATTAGCTACCAATTGCAGAAAACCACCATCTCATATGCTTCCCAATTAAAATAATGGCATCAATTGTTTAAATATCCATAGCGCATCAGAAAGGAGTCTTCCCTTATTCGAAAGGAATTGAAAAGTTCAAACTTCAACAACAACTAGCGAGCTAATCTCCACTTGCAGAAATAAAGACATGAAAGTAGAGATATAAAGTACTCTAGGATCTCCCCCGAGCATACAATCAAGCCGGAGAGATCCCAGTACCTAGTTTTTATGCTTCCTCTTTGATATCCTCACAAGCAGCGGAGATGTTCCCAAAGCATGTTCCAATTCCCTAAAGCATCTTCTATTGCTCATCAACATATATAGAAGTATAGAACACATGAACAAAGAATTTGGGAATCATTTCATATCTCTATTTTTTTAATGCTTGTACTCTAGTTTCTTAGTTGAAATAACTAATTATTCATGCAAATAATATCAGGTGCATTAAAATAACACTTCTATTTTTATCTATATGATTACTTGAACAGTTGAACTCACAATATATTTAGAAGTACGAATGTGTTAATATTCATGTGTACATCACTTAAACTCCCTATTACAAGTTACATTTTCATGGCTAAAAATATCTTTGATACGATAATACCAGTCAAGTAGAGAAATCTCTAGCCCGTGCAGGAGCACGGATTGATGACTACTTGTCTTAGTTAGTGACAAAAAGTACAATAATACCCTTTCATAAACCTTTTAGAGCGGTGTGCTCTGAAGGAGTGTTGGATTTTGTTTTGGCTCATAGAAATGTTTACGTGAACACTCAATTATTATCTATGGTTTCTTCATTAATTAACTCTGTGCATAGAGTAGAATGAAAATAGCTTGCATGGAGACCAGAGACTCCAGCCTTTGAGTGGGTCAACCTATATTAAGGCCATGTGCCCCTAGCTATAGTAACTATATGGCCATTTTAGAGAGTTAACCATCATTTTTGTTTGCTGCAAAACCCTCCCGGCAAAAAATATGAAAGCCCTATATTACTTAATTTCTTTGACAATGTTAACTGAGCTAAGTAAATGTATAATTATTATTACACACTATAAACTCCTCTCAAACCTCACTCATGTATTGCAGATATTGATGAGTGTGAGACTCCTGGTATTTGTAAAGGGGTTTGTCATAATACTATTGGAAGCCACAATTGCACCGCATGTCCTAGAAAAACAGAATATGACTTCCTAGCAATGAAGTGCACTTCAACAAAGAGGCAGAGTCTTTTACTTGGTGAGTTCAATGGTATAATCAATTCCACAGTGAGCGACGTGAAACAATACTTTTGGCTAAGTACAGATTTGATGAACACTGTCATTGCAGGTATTGTCATTGGGCTAAGCGTTGGTTTTGGCATTCTACTTCTCATCATAATTGCAATATTTCTTATCCGAAGGTGGAAATTAGATATCAAAAAGCAATTGCGAAGAAAGTATTTCAAAAAGAACCAGGGTCTTCTTCTAGAACAATTGATTTCTTCTGATGAAAATGCGAGCGACAAAACAAAGATTTTCTCCTTGGCAGAGCTACAAAAGGCAACAAATAACTTTGACCACACGCGTATCGTTGGTCGTGGAGGGCATGGCATGGTATACAAAGGCATCCTATCTGACCAACGAGTAGTGGCCATTAAAAAGTCTAAAGTCACTGCACAAATTGAGATTAGTCAGTTCATCAACGAGGTTGCTATCCTCTCACAGATAAACCAGCGAAATATTGTGAAGCTCTTTGGATGTTGCCTTGAGACTGAGGTTCCACTACTTGTGTATGACTTCATACCTAATGGTTCATTATTTGGTGTTCTTCATAATCCAAACAACAACTCTTCCTTGTCGTGGGATGATTGCTTAAGAATTGCAATAGAAGCAGCTGGAGCCCTTTCTTACCTTCATTCAGCTGCTTCTGTATCAATCTTTCATCGTGATGTGAAGTCGACAAATATACTCCTGGATGGGAATTATACAACAAAGGTGTCAGACTTTGGTGCTTCGAGGTTGGTTCCTATTGATCAGACCCATGTTATGACGAATATACAAGGTACATTTGGGTACTTAGATCCAGAATATTATCACACTGGCATTTTAAATGAGAAGAGTGATGTGTACAGTTTTGGTACGGTACTTGTGGAGTTGCTCCTTCGAAAGGAGCCTATTTTTACCACTGACTCTGGGCTAAAGCAAAACTTATCCAATTACTTCCTTTGGGAGATAAGGGAGAAACCACTTGCTGAAATTGTAGCTGCTCAGGTTCTCAAGGAAGCAACCAAGGAAGAGATTAGTGGTGTAGCCTGTGTCGCGGAGATTTGTTTGCGTCTTCGAGGTGAAGAAAGACCTACTATGAAACAAGTCGAGATGAAATTGCAGCATCTGCGATTGGAGAGGTTGAGAATGTGCGAGCTTGCTGCAAAAGACGAAGACATTCAACCTCTGTCGACCGTACAAAGCCAAGTTGGTCATCGGTCTTTAGCTACTGCAGCTCGTAAGGTGGGAAGCTCAAATTCATCTTCCGAGAGAAGCCAAAACTGTTATAGCTTGGAGCAAGAATTTATGTCATCAGCGACTCTACCACGCTAGATATTATCCAGCTTCTAATATTGTGTTCTGGTTTTCACTTTCCTAAGTACACTTAATAGAGACGAATGAATATAATACTTTCTCTGATGACGATTACAACTTGTATATCTGAAATGGTCAGCTTGTAGATTTCCACCAGACCAGCACCACGCATGACTACATGGCCGAGGACGACGGCTGATACGAACCTACAAATACCAAGTACATCAAGAAATGACTATGTGGCCGTGACGAAGGACAAGATGACAGACATAGCCAAAGGACAACTTATTAGTTGTGGAAAGGATGGCAAGCTACGTGTGCTTTGTGGTCCGCAACCAGAACCGAAGCAAAACTACTGTCAAGTAAATAACAGAAGGAAGATCTTGTATAGAGACCAACCTACACAACCGTCTACGAAGATGCCACCAATATGGAGCAAGAAGCTAACACGTACAAACATAGAAGAACCAAAGCCAGAAGAAATAACGCCCACGTTTCGTACACCTCCATGTAGATTATTTGTTGGGTCCTTGCCAATATGGATAGATTTAGGTAGGTAAACTGAGTCTAATATTTTATGGAGTCCAAACATGTGCGTTTAGTTTAGTTGGTAAGAAGATCTTGCCGGATCATTAATTAGAAGAATCCTCAATTAGTTGAGATAAGGCAGAAGAGTCCGTTTAAGTTTTAGTTGGTTACGTAGGGTTGTGTGTCGCCTATATAATAGGCTAGCTCCGGCCATATACGGGGAGATTAGTTTTAGAGTTTATTCGTGAGTTATGAACAACACAGTAAAACGTCCGAGTTTCGGGCGATCATATCTTGTGTATCATCTGTGACTTTCCCATCGTGGAAATTTACTAGCGACGGAGGGTTGATCATCACATCGACACCTACGTGCTGATCCAGGGGGGTCATTATTTTTATTCGTGTATTTTTGTACGCGGGTGAAAATTATTCTTGGAAGTTGCGAGGAGGAACAGGGGGAAGAACTATTGATCAAGCATCGCCGTGAAAGATCGGGCCGTCTACGCGCGCGAATTAGCATCTCGCTAGTCCGTGCTTCATCAAGTGGTATTCAGAGCTAAGGTTAGTCACGGCGATTCAATTTGCAATATCGTCCGCGGAGGTGAGGCATCAAGATGTTGAGCAGGAACATATTGATGGAGGAGGAAGGCATTGGCGAGGTCATTCTTTTTCACAGTCGTTGCGTTGTGAGCGAACGACGTGTCAATCTGACGATCGATGAGACTACTGCAGTCAACATGGTTAGCATCGAGGTGGTGGAAAAATTGGGGCTGAAGATGACACCTCTTGAAAGACCATACACACTGAAGTGGTTCAAAGGTGAAATCCACATTACACATCAGATTTTGCTAATTTTTACTTTAGGAAAATATTGTTGTGCGGAATTTTTTCATGTTTGTCCTGTGCCCATGGTGTCGTGCCATCTGCTGCTTGGGAACCCATGGTGCAAACGTGTTGGGGCTGTTCGGAATTCCAAAAAAAATACTTACTCTGTATCATGGAAGGGCCAACAAATCTGTTTTATTCCTATGCCAGTGGATGTGTTCATGGCAAATTGGATAGGCCGTTTGCAGAAAAGGAGAGAAGAGCAAAAAGAAATAGAGGAAGAAGTTGATGCACCGATGAAGGGTGTGAATCTTTTGGTACATAAGGTACAAGACGGTGATGCAAAAGGCCAACGATGGAGTGTTTTCAAGACACAATGCAAGATCAAGGACCGTGCATGTAAGATGATAATTGATGGTGGCAGTTTTACCAATGCCATTAGCAAAGACCTTGTACAAGAATTGGGTTTGTCTATGTGGCGACACCCTCAACCACACCACGTGGAGTGGTTATATAACTCTGGGAAATTAAAAATTACACATAAGGTACGTGTGACATTTGCTGTTGGGGATTATGTTGACAAGGTGGATTGTGACGTCATGCCGATGGACGCGTGTCAGTTATTATTGGGAAGACCGTGGCAGTTTGATCGTGATGCAGTGCATGCAGGTAAATCAAACACATATACATTCAAGCATGATGGTAGACGACACGTTCTAAAACCAATGCTGGACAGTGTGATCACTATAAACATGGAAGTTCCAAAAAAGAAGGTTTTGAAGGTTGGCTCAAAACCGAGGACGGTTTTGTTTCAAGAAAGGGAGGATGATACGAACCTACAAATACCAAGTACATCAAGAAATGACTATGTGGCCGTGACGAAGGACAAGATGACAGACATAGCCAAAGGACAACTTATTAGTTGTGGAAAGGATGGCAAGCTACGTGTGCTTTGTGGTCCGCGACCAGAACCGAAGCAAAACTACTGTCAAGTAAATAACAGAAGGAAGATCTTGTATAGAGACCAACCTACACAACCGTCTACGAAGATGCCACCAATATGGAGCAAGAAGCTAACACGTACAAACATAGAAGAACCAAAGCCAGAAGAAATAACGCCCACGTTTCGTACACCTCCATGTAGATTATTTGTTGGGTCCTTGCCAATATGGATAGATTTAGGTAGGTAAACTGAGTCTAATATTTTATGGAGTCCAAACATGTGCGTTTAGTTTAGTTGGTAAGAAGATCTTGCCGGATCATTAATTAGAAGAATCCTCAATTAGTTGAGATAAGGCAGAAGAGTCCGTTTAAGTTTTAGTTGGTTACGTAGGGTTGTGTGTCGCCTATATAATAGGCTAGCTCCGGCCATATACGGGAAGATTAGTTTTAGAGTCTATTCGTGAGTTATGAACAACACAGTAAAACGTCCGAGTTTCGGGCGATCATATCTTGTGTATCATCTGTGACTTTCCCATCGTGGAAATTTACTAGCGACGGAGGGTTGATCATCACATCGACACCTACGTGCTGATCCAGGGGGGTCATTATTTTTATTCGTGTATTTTTGTACGCGGGTGAAAATTATTCTTGGAAGTTGCGAGGAGGAACAGGGGGAAGAACTATTGATCAAGCATCGCCGTGAAAGATCGGGCCGTCTACGCGCGCGAATTAGCATCTCGCTAGTCCGTGCTTCATCAACGGCTGTGGCCATCTGAATCGTGTACGTCTTTGGACTAGATGGGCCCCAGCATCATCAACAAATAGGGAAGGAACACACTTGTGGGAGTGTTTCTTGGGCAAGAGAGACAAGCCTTGGTAATTGCAATGCTCTGGCGGTAGTGAAATTAGCATGCTAAAAACATCATCACCCAGCATGTCTACTCTACCGTGGTCAGAAAAAAAACCATTCCATCACCCTTCGCATCTCCGAAAGCAAAGATTGCACAAGCATCAACCAGCCAGTTTCACGCAATTCTTCAGTTTAGCAACACAGGTTGTCCTGTTCCCTTTCTTTGCGGGGAAAAAAGAGCAATGTGTGGCGTTTCGCTGGAGGAGCAAGGCAAGCTAAACAATGCTGACAGTACTAATCATCCAATTGCCTATGTAAAGGACCATAGGAATAAACATCTCATAGAACAAAACCATAGGAATGCCTTACAAAAACAGCCATGATTGGTTTGAAACTGTATCTGGCAGCTCCGGCTCGATAACGAGAGACGGCCATCAGCCTTGTAAGCACGACTCTCCACACTACATCATCTTAGGCTAGGATAGGTAAGCTTGTCTTCACTGAGGAACGGTGGTGATGATGTCCGAGTCACCTGAAAACATGTGAGGTAAACGCTCAGAACAAGTTATAAGGGCAAATGACAAACTGACCAACGAGTTCTGAGTTTAACAAGGACGAACCAGGGTCAAGGATGCTCAAACAGCACACCCGGTAGTACTTGCCACACGCAGTTCCAAGATCCACATTGTCTGAAAGGACAAAGACACATTCATTAGCATTAGACCACAATTCATTATTTGATAATAAACAAGCTAAACTACGTATGTTAAGCAAGCATTGAGAAAAGGTTTCAGACTAGGCTCAAATAATCTTACTTCCATGGAAATGATGAACGCTGATCTTGGACAGCATAGCATAGTACTCGATCTCAGACTTCCTGAGCGGAGGGCAGTTGTTTGCGAGGATAATCAACTTCCCTGAACGGCAAACAAACAAATTAGATTATTTTTAAAAAGCCACATGTAAAAGAAAAAATCAATAAGATATAATATGAGTGCATCTCATGTGTTAACTACCACCAAAGGACAATCTTAAACAGTTACCCAAAAAAGGGTGTAAGCATTACACACACTATGTTGGTTTAGTAATAGCCTGAACCTGGTCTAATCTGAAAATCAAAAATTACACCTTTCTTCCAATCTGAAGATTGTGAGAATACATATCTTTGGGGCTACCTACTGGATAAGAATGGTGCTGGGTCACAAGGTAACACGAAACTGCAAGCTATACTACGATAACTACAAATGCACAATCCACCTACAAATTCTACATTACCAATATATCATGAAATTCCCCTAAAAATATCCTAAAATTGCTACACAGCAGTGGGAATTAATGTCAGCAAAATACAAGTATCCCAACCTCCATTGTCCCCCAGATATGGAAGAAATCTTGGAAGTGTTAATAAAGAGGCTGGTATTATTCTAGGGCGCTGTATTCATCTCTAGGGCAAAGCAAAAGCAAGCCAAAGAGGTAAACTTCAGTCCCGTTACAGAATGCAAATTCCATACAAACAATACAGTGATTATCAATGGCATGAACCCTATTGTCTGAACAAACATTTTAACCTCCCATTGCACTAGAGATAAGGTGATATTTTGGATCAATCAGAATATGGCAGATGCATTCATTGATAAAAAAAATGGCAGCAAAAGCAAGCCTAAGAGCCAAACTTCACTCAGTTTCCAATCCAAAACCCTACACTACAGACTGGACTACTACATTGATACATCCTAACATTCAGAGCATGGCACTGTAATTAAGATCCAAATCGGCATGGCATTGACCATCCTACAAGCAACCTATCGAGAGCTAAAGCTGCCAACTTCTAATGGGGTCGCAGTTCCAGACACAAATAAGCACACGACATCCA